TAATCAACTGGAAGTGACTGGTACAGAAACTCCACAGAGCCTACTAGCGACGTGAAAACCTGTTGATGCATCGTACGAGTAGCTCGATCACCTTGCAACTCCACGACGAGATCACTGAATACAAATACTTCCAAGCGGCACAACGTCGTACTCGCCCGTCTCAAGCTGTTGCAGCATTCCGAAAGACTCCGCCAGCCGAAAACGCAAACTCTTCAATCTGTAGACTGGATGTGCAGGGCTGCGAGATAGCTTTGAAAGCCTTTTGATACAAGCGCCGAAGCAGTTCACATTTTGGTCACTCGTTCCAGACGAGATCACCAGCTTGAAGTAAAATGGACGTCCCACAAATGTATCCAACGTCATCAGAAGCTTAGGATCCTGCACGGGAGTACTCAGATACCATTCCAAGCGATGAAAAGTATCCGGACTTGTGGTCTTGCCCAATTCCATCGCAAATCGCTCCTTCGAATAGCCTTGCACCATCTCTCGGAATATTGGTGGCTCTCGCTCTGAAAACGGCGTCTTCAGCAATCGTTTCTCAAGCACGGCCAGCACTTCGCTAGCCTGCGCCTCCCTGCCAACAGAAAGACTGGTCCGTGCCGTCCGCACGACGAATTTGACGAAATCGATCGTTGTGGCGCAGAATTCCCTCACAGGAGCTAGGATGGGGTCTGTCTCGATACAATCCCAAGCAAAGCTGCAATCACCTCGGCGGTCGCCGATGCGCTAGCTTCACAAACATGAGTTGAAGGTGAATCGATTGTACCCGATGAATTAGAACTGGCGTCGCCTCTTTCGTCTGGGTTACTCTTCTTACTCTTCGTGGATTTCTTTTTCCGCTTGATCGCCACAGGGGAGTTCGTAGTCAATTCTTCCAACGCATTTTGGCGCTCGTCATCATGCTGAACAATCACCAACTTGCGGGACTGTTCTGCAAGACGAGTCAATTGCTGCTGAAATACTCCAGGACTATCTCTCCTCCCCCTGCCCAACCTGGAAGTAAACTCCATCTCTGTCGCGACATCCCGAATTTTTTCAGAGAATGTGCGATCTGCTGTCATCTCCCACACGAATTGCCCCTTGGCGTTCGGGATTCGAAAATCAACCGCGTTCCTGTGGAGTCCGACGAACACTTCCATGTGTCCGAACTTGACGGCCAAATGTGCGAGTGTTTCTTTGGTATGACACGTGGGTGTGTTCAAGTCCACCATGTTGTCACACTCCAGAAGAAGCTTTGCCATTTGCCAATCTCCCGCAATTACCGCGCTGTGGATAGCCATAGTGTTCGGTAATAGATTCCGAGGGCAAGTGAGGTCTCGTTGTCGCGGCTCCTT